TGGTCACATGATTTTCGAACTGTTAAATTCAAAGAATGCGCTATGCAAATCGTGTGCCTGATTTGGAGCTTTTTGACACATGCAACCATGTTTGCAGCCGCATCTGTGACAAGACATGTAACTTTCTCTGCTATGGCCCACTCCTGCATTAAGTTTTTCTTTACTTGGGCCATATTTTCAGCAGTGTGCTGCTGAGGGAAGTGTTCCACTCCCAACATTGATGTACACAGTGTATGGTTCTCACTGTTGACATAGTGACAGGTCACAGCCAGGTAAGCCTCCATGTTCATGGATGTCCACATGTCAGCTGTTAGGCTGACTGCAGCTGCACTCTTCAGTTCTTTTTTAATTTGCTCCTTTTTCTCCTCATACCTCTGGCTAATCATGGTCTTGATAGCCTAAAATTAATAACACAAGTGGAGTAGCTTAATGATTGATATCAAATAACATGCATATACTTTGTTAACATGTATAACAGTTAGTTTCACGTACCTTTCTGCATGGCAGAACATATGAGGGCTCAAGGAGTTGGACCAGCTCTCGGAACCCCTTTGTTTTCCACAAGGCTAAGCGGCTGACAGTCTGTAATGATCATGTTCATTACAGCCTCATCAATCGCCTGCTTTCTGGAAGCACCAGGGCTAATCACGGGAGTATTAACTCGTTCTTCCATCTCATGCCGGGCACGGTAATGCCTCAGCATTGTGGAAGTGCTCCGGTTAGAGTAAGACAGCACCTGGGAGCAAATCCTACATTTCACCTACAATAGAAATAAAAGTTAATCCATGTAAACTAATTAAAATATTCTTCAGAAAGAAATTAGAATAACCAAGAGAAGAATGATCAATGGTGGAAACAAGAAAGGAATAATAATTTACCTTATTCTCAGTGATAAGATCAAAATGATCCCACACGGGTGAAAACTTCCTCTTCCTTGATTGATCCATAGTTTTAGATGACAAGCCAAAAACCAATGTAAAGCAAACAACACAAACTATCTCCATCCAACAAAACCCACAAATGTGTCGATACATTTTCTGTTTATAAATACAATTTGGCGCGTTCACAATCAAGCGACACAGGAACTGTATCGGTCACGTGGTTTTCCTTAAAGAGATACGCGCACCGACACGGGGCTTCACCTTGTTTGCTCGGCGCATGCGCCGAGGTTTCAGTGTCGTCAGACCCATCACTAGCCTGCAGAGATGCATCAACCAGGCCTTGCGTGGCATGATCCAGCGGAACAGATTCCAAGGAGGAAGACAGGGCCAGCATAAGATGGGAGAGAGAGTTCCCAATCCGGCCCATGCGGGCCCCAGAGTCATAGGCCTTACAGAGAAGGTCGTCGGTAATATGGCACTGAGGACGCGGACAACGGGCATTGGGCCGCAAGGCCTCATCAGGCGGGATTATAAGAGAGGCAATGCCCGGTTCCACCGCTGGCATCTGCCCCAAGCCAACCTTGGGTGCCTCCTGCATAGCTGCCAGGACCCTGCCATCCGTCGTCAGACGTGAAAACGCCTAGGTGTCTGACCAGCAAGCATGCAGTTCCCGCACATACTCCGCCGAGGGAGGAACCACAAAGGCAGTCTCTGACCTACTGCGCCTAAAGAAGGCGCTGGAAGCCGCAGGCTGGGCCTGAGGAACACTAATCTGTAAACGGGCAAGAGCCGTTCGAATAGCGGATGTCACAGACTCCCCCGTATCCTCCTGGGAGGCAATGGAGTCCGACCCAGAGGCCCCGGAGCCCAGCTCCGGAAGGTCCTCACAGAAATGGGTGCCAGAGGCCGCCACAGAAACAGCATCGTCGTCATTGACTGACGTTTCATCCTGCTCGGTAGGGAGAGCCGTGCCGCGATCACCAGCAGTCTGAAAGGACTGGAGGAGGGCTTTCATTTGGGCCAGCTCAGTAGTGAGATGATCCACTCTGGTGGACAACCTCCCTGCATCGGTCCGTCTAGCACGCTTCGTCGGTACCGAAGGTGCAGCCACAGTAGATCGTTTGCACACCGCTTTCTCCATCGGCAAACGAGCACGCGGCGAAGCGCTCGCCCAGTCGGTAGGCTGCTCCAGTGCAGCCAACCGATCCAGTCTGACCGACCGGGGCATGACGCGACAGTTGGGGCAAGCGTCATCTGACAGCGCCTCCCGGAGATGTTCCACACCGAGGCAGGAGGGACACATCCGGCTGAAGTGGAGCCAGACAGGTCGAGCAACATAAATTATCCAGCATCATACTGCTGAAAGGCGTGATCAGCCTGCTACCAAGGACAAGTCAACACGAGCAGGAAACGCTACTGGCGACTCGTTGTAGGAAAACCCCCGCAGAGATTCCAAACTCAGCGTGAGCAGAAACGCCACTAGCAAATCGATTATTAACTAAAGATGAACTCAGCACGAGCAGAGACGCCACTGGTGAGTTTAGGCAAACAAACTATAGAAGAACCCAACGCGAGCAGAAACGCTACTGGTGGGCTTAGGCAAACAAACTGAAAACAACTCAGCGCGAGCAGAAACGCCACTGGTGAGTGTAGATAAACAAACTATAGAAGAACCCAACGCGAGCAGAAACGCTACTGGTGGGCTTAGGCAAACAAACTGAAAACAACTCAGCGCGAGCAGAAATGCTACCGTGAGTCAAAAGAGCCACAAAATTAACGTGGCAAATCAAAGCGAACAGTAAACTACTGCTGAGAAAAGAACGAAAACTTACCAGTCACCGCAGATCTGGTAAGGTGAAAGCAGCTTGTGCAGCCCCTGGAGGGCGAGACTTACCCGCAGCTCCGACCAAACCCGGTCACGGGGCTACCAGCAACAAGCAGCCAGGAAACTAGTGGTATACACAGAAGCAACCAGCTTCACACGACCACACTCCGGTACTCAACACACCTGCGCGCGAGAAGAACAAAAGGGATTGATTGCCGGGTGCCACGTGACTATATAGAGTCACGCGGGTCCCCGGCAGGTCACAGCTGACTTTGTTGTCATTAATACTCGACCTGCGCATGCGCAAGAATGATCATTCAGTGCTTGAAGCACCGCCTCTGGCGGTCAGTAGGGATGAAATAGAACAAAACATTGCATGGTAAGATTAATAAGCACCTCATAGGCCCGATTAATGCTGTTAATTTAACCTGTCATAAACCAGATTGACAGGTGTGGTTCAATTTGAATTCGACACGTATTAATCAAAAGGAAGAAAGATTTAGTACAACTCTTCTGCCTCCCATGACAAGTTTTTAGTCAGTCACAGCAGTAATAGTAGCTTGATTAGTTTCAAACTAGAGGAGTTAACTAATAAGCTCTTAACAAATCTGGTTGGGAGGAATGAGTAAATATCTTCCCATTCACAGAGGCAAAAATCATGTCCTTTTTTTCTTTTTTCAAAATGAAATAGAGGGTAATCCAGCTAAAGCTGACGCAGCCATGTTTGTTTTGCTTCAGCCTTTCTGCCAATGGTTGATGCACTGACGTCATACACGTCACTGCATTTCAATGGTCTGAAACATTTCTGTATTGAGGATAATGCATCTGTTGGCTTCTAGCAAGATGTATTTTTGGTAGTTTAGAAATCTCATGATAATTCATCTTGCCTGCAAGGTAATTTTTAATCTGCAATAAAGTCCATTTCAACCTCATTTAGTATTGAAGTTTGAGTTTTACCATTAGCTTAAACAACTTCAACACCTTTTAAAAAGACACATAAAGCTTTAAAACAGTAAACAACAACAAATCTTGTTTAAGGTGCAGGATCAAAAGCAGAGCAGAATGTAGCACTGTTTGCTATGCAGCATCATGGAGCTTTGTTGCAGCAAGTGACTGCAAGATTCAATTCAAAAATACTTAATCGTTTCCAAAGGGAAATCACATAAAAGAATTAATAAATAATGAAATAATCGATTGCTCCACCTTCGCAAAAATGAAAGTAACTGTGAGCAAAGCTCCAACTAACAAGGGAAATTTTTAACTGTGACATAGAGGAGCATACAACCCTTTTTTGTTTTGGGAGTATAATATATCAACTAAACTCTTTGGAGTAAGCATGTCTAAATTCCATGCTCACCTCTAACAACATTTAGCCCTTTAATCAAATGCCTTGTAAGATTATTTAGAAGAAGATATTCTGGGCTCAGAATAGGAACAATTTTACAGTGGCTTGGTTATTTGTGATCATCTCAGCATTTCAGAAAGTACTGATCCACTGGGACTTTTTTTTTTTTTAGGAACTGTTTTTCTAACTTTACAAAGAAAAATCTGAGGAAAGAAATTATTCAGTGTGTGGCAGCTGACGAAAGAAAGCCAACATTAGCTCAAATAATAAACTAATATAGTAATAGCAAAGTGCACATAATAAAGCAGCAGGTACTTTTAGATTTCTCAACCAGACCAACAGAACATGGAATCAATAAATAAAACTGTTGAAAAAGAAAAAAACATTGAAAGAAGAATCTAGAAATAAGGCTAAATAAATTTTCTCATTTTAACATTTAGATCTAAAAATGCTAAGTCAAAAATTATACATATAAACCTTTAAAACAATTAGTGGACCACAGAAAAGAGATGCAGTTGTATAGATTTTGCTTTAAAAACAAACAAAACGTATAGACATAAACATCCCATGCAGCTAATTTATTCAGAGTGATTAGATCATCAGAAGGTTAGATCAAAAAACTGAACCAACCAGATCAGGACATCCTGGTTTAGCCAGCTGATTTTTCACATATCGAGTGATGCAGAGTCAGCCCTTAAGCAGCAACAGCTGCTTACTGGCTTTTAAAACACCAACATTAATGACTTAACTCTTAAAGTTAATATTATTTATTAGTAAATAATCTTGCTAAAAATAAGACGCTAGAAGTATCAGGAATCTAAAGTTTAATCAGAGTTCAGTCTCCTTACTTTTACCTGCTTTCTAGCAGTTAAAATGCTAGAGGCTATTTCCAACATGGCAATCTGAGGCACAGATTTAATCTTAGAGTTTAGGGAAAACAAGTACTTACATTTTGCAGATTAAACTGGAGCTGCTGCTTGTAGGGTTCAAACTCATTGGCCAGCTCATAGCCCTCATGGTAGAATGTAAACAACCCCTGCAGGAAGGCTAATAACTGAGAAGCACAAGGAGAGATCCTCAGTAGAAACATTAGCACTGGGCTTGGGAGAGTACAAGTTGATCACAATAGGACAGATTTTCAATCATCTGCTGGGTAATCAAACCTGGTTCTACAGGGTAAAGCATTGCTCTATATTTGTTTTGCTGCCATTGTTTATTTTACAACAAACAGCTTTTGCTCTCTGTCAGCTGGGAAAAAAATCTAATCACAGGAAGTCCTGCTGGAGCAACAGGAAGTGTCCTTTACTGATATCCATCATTTAAAAAACTGAAACCAATGGCCATGCTGAGTGTGTAAAACGTTTTTCTGAGCTCATGGCTCACTTGTTTTTCCAGGCAGTGTGTTTACATAAAAACACTTGTTAATGGCTCGGTCTGCGTGCGTAAAAAAGAAAAACAGCACGGGAAAAGTCTAATCACTCCAACTTTCCTGCCATGAAACGCTGTGTAACCGGCCTGTCTTCATTTTAAAATGGAAACTATAAACATAAAAAGGGTGTGTATGGCTTTAAATAAAACCACAAAATTAAAATTGTAAAGATAATCTTACTGGCTCCACAAACTCAAACTTCTTTCTTTCCTGCACTTCTTGGATCTTGAAAACATACTGCAGAGATGCATCGTAAAAGATCTGCCTGTCTTTGTCCATCTGTGAGTCAGCCTGTAAAAAATAAAAAAAACACACCAAATACTAAGAACTTGATGTAACCGAACAGGTGCCTGAGGAGCTTGTTGTGGCCTTGAGAGTATCTTAAGAATTTACCTCTTGTAGCTGGGAATCCTTCTTCCTGGAGGACACACTGAGATACTTTTCTAGCACAGAGTAATACCGCTCTGTCTCCTTATCAAACTGCTTCTTCTCCTCCTAACAAGAACAGGGCAGCAGAAAGGATGTAAGTTACAAAAACTACAAAACAACAGAGAAAGGAAACAAAATAAATGCCTGAGCGATGAAGAGGCGTTAACAATAGTATTCATCACAACAAAACATCATCCTGTTATTGAATATTAAAAGATAAAACTGGAGTTGCAAAATAATGGTGTGTTGAAAAATAAATACTGAAAATTGGCCTGACTGCATCAACTTCACAATAAAACACATTGGTGGGAGTATCATGCTGTGAGGATGCTGGGGGATTGTTCACCTTCTAACAGACAAAAACCCTAAACATATGGCTTGGTCTAAAAGAAAACGGTTTAGATGAAAGAATTTTAATCTTTTAGAAATGCCTCATTTAATCATAGCACTGAAGTTGGATGCTGTAATTTCTGAATAACTAACAAGTGTTTATTCTCATAATGCAGTTTTCAGAAAATGAAGCCCTTAAATGTACAAAGTCAACTTAAGGTGGTTCCATCTATACAATGGTCTTAAATACTCAAATATAGCAAGTGAAATCTAGCATAGAATTCAATCAAAGGAATTAAATAGATCATCATGGTTTAAAGCTCCTTTTTTCTTTATATTTTCATTATTTGTAATCGTTTCACAAACAAATTAAACTGTTATGTAGAGAATAAAGGTACCTAAAATCTTAGAAGGCTTTAAAAACTGGGTTATTTAAAGAGTTTTTGGGGTTTTTTTGGAAACCAGTTACACTGATTTAAAACGACCCAGATGCAGGGTCAAAGTCAAAGACATTTCAAATAGAATTTGTAGCTCATCTAATTATAGAGTGTGTAAGACATGAGACCTTTCTGCTGAATATTAATGATAAAAAGCTAAAAAAATACCATGCAATAAAGCACACGTTGAAACAATTTCAACACATTTCAAACGCATAAGAGCCAAAATGTTCGGAGAAAAAAGGCTCCAATGTGTTAGAAATAAAAGTGGATTACATTTAGAGACTGACTTAACATGAAAGTTGATCTGCTTTAGTCTAACCATCGGAAAAGTGAAGGGATAATCAAACATTTAGAGAGGCTGTAAAGGCTATTAATGTCAAAAAACAATGGAAATACATCTAATAAGTCACAAGAATGGTCAAAAAATGACCCGAGTATTGAATAAAGTTTCTGTATGCTTAAGAAGAGTATTATATCAGATTAAGGAAGTAGCTTCCCGGAACTAAAAGTTATGGCAAAGCAGAGATGCTATTAATATTCTAAACAAGGAATCGCTGCCAAAAACCATTAGCAAACAGCTGCAGTGCAGATATTTTCTCTGCTATCGTCTAGCTGAAGATGAGCTGCTCACACATTTGTGTTACATTCTGCAGTCTGTGGAGCTGCTTGAATCAATCCACCTGAGGTTTTACTTTCAGATCAGGTTCCTTTTTAAAACAAAGCTGACTCCCCGTGTCAGACAATGTTCTCTTTACAGTCAAAGAAAAGTTTGATAAGTAGCTAAAAATACTTGAAGCAGCTGCTAAAAGCAGACACAGCAGACGTTATGTTTCTACTGCCTGTGTTCAGCAATCTCTGTGTCTGTGACATCCTCAGTCTACTGTCTTCTCTCCCAGCGTCCGTTCCCATGACCTTGTTACTGACTCTAGACTGTGATCCATCATTTATCTGAAATATGTGAACTTCTGATCGTTAACCAGTCTAATTAGTTCAACTGGCATCCCTTCATCCCTTCTTAAAGCAGTGGATGTACCTTAACAGCTCCGATTTGCTCTTTCCGAAACCTCTCAAGGGGTGAGATCAAGACGTCATCCGCATTCTGGATCTGAAAAAAAGGAAAACAGAAGTGAGTTTCAGTTTGTTGTAACAGTAAATACCGAGAGCCGCAGCCAAAACGTCCCATGAGGGCCGCAGCTGCAAGTTCACTGCTGAAGTTTAAAAGGGCTTTTATGTTTTATCAGCAAATCCCTGATAAGTTTAAAAAGACAGCTTTAATTTTTTTATTGAAGATTTTACTTTACTGCAATCAAAAAAATAATGCAACCCTTTTTGGTATGTATTTAGTTATACTTGGTTACTATATCATAATTTTTTTTAAATGTCCTACCCTGCTAACGCAAACAATTGCGTTAAACTAAATATGATAATTACATACCAAAAAGGGTTGCATTATCTTTTACAAAGAACTTCCATCAAAATATTACAAAACACACATAATATGTTAATCCACGGTCAGCTTCACGAAAAAGTTGCTGTGAAGTTTATGACCTTAAGCTGGAATTAGTTTTATCCTACAGTAAATCTTTGTTTGCATTGAGGTCAAAATAACACAAAAAAATCAGAGGTAGGTTGATATGAACTTATATGAAAAACGCAAGATGGTTTCAGCTGGAAATAAATCGCTTCAAATGGCCTAAAAGAATAAGAATATTTGGTTACAGTAATATGCAAACAGTTAAATAAAAACTGTCCTTCTTCCTGAGCTACATGCTAATAACATATCAGGTCTTTTTAGTCAATAATATATCAGTAGATTTTGGTGACTGATGTTTTTAAGCAGATGCAAAGTGATTGATATAGGAGACAGACATTGCATTCAACAACAATACTGTTATTTTATCTTTTACATAATGTAACCCTACTTAATTATTGCATTCTTTCTATTTGTATGAATAAATTATCCTCTTTTAATAGTGCCTAGGAATATATATTGTGCAGCTTGCATAAAAGTCAAACCCATTTTACGGAATTTTCTTTCAGCATATTACTAATAAATGTACATCAGTGGTACCTTTTTTTAATGATTGAGCTTTTTGAAGATAAACTCAATAATATTAAATATAAAGAGGATGTTACTGTATGCAGGATACATTTTCACTTCATCTTAAATTCGCACTGGTATCCAAAACAGGGGGGCTTTCATTGTGATGTTAGACTTTTCAACACATCAGTGCAAGCAGAGGGGAAACTGAAAACTGAGATTGTTGGGTTTGGTCGACTCCCGGTAATAGAACTTTTGGGTTGAACAGGAAAGTATTTCAGAGGAAACTATTTTCCAAAAGACGGTCTAATAATTGTATTATTATAAGTTTAGATTAATTAGCAGAGTTCCAGTAAAAGCAAGTTGAAAAAAAGTGAAAAATCCAAACACACACAGCGAGGGCAAAAGACAGAAGACAAACACACAAGCACACACAGAAACCTTTTATGGACTTTCCCAGGCTGTCCAACTGCACTCCATCTCACAGGGGAATTGCCAGAATAGGTTCCACATGGTTCCTCTGCAACCAGACCAAGCAGGCTGCCACAAAGGCAAACACACACTCACACAAGGGTTTATATATAAGGCAGCATACTATGCTCCTCTGTTACAAACACTGTGAGCTTAGGCTTCACACAGAGTGTGCCAAAATTCAATCAGTCCTCACAAAGGCCTCCGAATGATGGAGGATCACTGAGTCCAAGAAATTTCCCAATTGCAGTGAACACGGTGCTGCTGGCACAAAGTTAACCCACAAATGTGTGAATCAGAGTAGAGGGAAAGCAAAAAAAAAGAGAAAAATCCAAGGCGGTTAGTGAGAAGCTGTCTATGAGGCCTGAAACCTTCTAAGAAATCTACTTAAATTTCACTCGTAAAACATAAAATATATGAAGGAAAAGGCTTGGGTCAGATAACGCAGAGAGAATCAAATATTTAAACAGCAGAAAACTGTTTGCTGAAACAGCGTGAAAAGTATCACGTTTCAACATGCACATTAGTTTCACATTTCAATCAAACAGGGCCAGCGTGAAGCTTCGTTTCCTGATGCTCTTTAATCCTGTCACAAACCTGTTTGGATTGTTTGACTTACCTGATTTCCAAGGGACATAACTGAAACAGCATAAAAAAAGACAAACATGCCTACTATCAACAAAAAAACCCAAACATTTAATCTAATTCACATAACCTTTGTTTCTCACTTTGTCGCAATAAATTGGACTGAACTATCCTGTGTAAGATCAGTTTGACAAAAAATATTTGGCAGGTTAAATAACTGTGTGTTGTGGGTGATTGTGTGCCATGAATAAGATGTGCATACAGGTTCTGTCTGCCTTTTTTAAATGAGCAAACTGATGGCGTTACTGGCAGTATGAAAAATACCATAAAAGAAGAAGAGATTCTGAAACCAGCTGGCCAACACGGACCTCCTTTGCTTCTATCTTTGACAGACCAGATACGCTGACATGAACAAAGACTTTCCTTCCAGTCTCTGTCATTAAATCAGTGCCTCCTTTGTGGACTTAATTAGAGACCAATCGGATAGTATCTGTAGTGGTCCTGATATTGAAGAAAATCGAGTGTTGGTGAAAATGGGCCTGATTAACAGAAGTTGGGTTAAAAAAACTCCATAACGGTAGAGATGTTTATCCCTTTATGGGCATCTGTCCTTACTAAATAAAGCCAGTTTGAACCCTAACAGTTATATAATTGTTTTCAGGATGGAAATTGTCCTTTCAACATGATGCACAATTTTCCTTTTTCTTAAACTAATCTCAAATTTCCTTTTGGATACACACTTGATCAATTTATTTGCTGGTAGAGAAGAGTTTATGACAGCATTTTATTTCAATAGTAATGATGATAACATTAAAGAAAACATAGATCTATTATCAATAAAGTATTGAGATCAGCAGAAATCCAAATCGGAATCGGTCAGAAGTGAAAGAATGTGGATGGCTGCATCCTTAGTCACAATGACACCAGAAATTGTTTAAGGAGTTTGCGCCTCAATTTCAAGTTTGATAAATGTATATCAAGTATTCTCCAGCCATTAGTCTGTATTGTGCTCATGCAGATATGATCCATGCATTCATGACGGCACACGGAAAAAAGAGTTTGCCTCCACTATTCTTTTCATGTGACACAGGTAAATTGATATGCACCTGGTATGAAGATCAGCTTTGCACGTGCCAAAAAGTTTTCACATCTTTTAATAAACCCAAACCTTTTTAAACATCAGTCCCAATTGGGGCATACTAAACCAAATCTGAGAAATTTATTTTTATTTGTTTTAAGCTTTTCTTACTCTGCTCAATATATGACTATAAACAAAATCATGAATTCTTACCAGTCGTTTTCTCTCCTCTTCCATGGTGCTTAAGAGCTGAGAGAACTCCTTTAAGGACTGAGCTGCAGCAGAGATCACATACTTCAAATCTCTGGGTCTAGGTCATATCTTACAGAGAAGTCTTAGATGGAGGTTATTCTGTTGTATTTTTCTCACCTATATTGATCTCATCATCAGTCTCAGCGTCTCCGATGCATTCAAACTGGAACTCCTGCAGAGACTGCGAGAACCGCTGCACGGCCAGAGAAAGTCCTGGAGAAAAACAGGCAGGCAGGTACAATAAAGATATTGCTGATATTATTTCACTGTATGATAACAGTTCTATCACTGGTCAAACCAATTATTTTTCACCCTTTATTTTAAAGAGTAACTAAAGAACTTGCATTTCATCTAATCTCAAGACATGAGGTGTCAAAGTCTGCTGTGACTGAGCTGCCACACCTGGTGATAACACATGAAGTGCATGACACACCGCTGCATTCTTTGATCACACTCTGGCAATACAATGCAATGAATTTCAACTGCTGTGAGACAGTTTACATTGTAGGTCTGGTGTATGCATAGATAATGACATAAAATGAAGTGAAACTCGACTGCAGCGGGTGTTAGAGCTACTGAAAAAGGAATTTAAACCAGACTAAACTTTCAGAACACTTTCCAACACTAGAAACAAAAATAATGTCTCATTTCTGCTATAAGATGTAGACTAAGTTGGTCAAGATATGAAAACATTCACTTATGCTTGTGTGTTTAAACTTAGCAATTCATAGTTTGCAAAAACCATAGGCAGCCTTAAAAACAGTAAACGTCTATCTGAAACAACAACTGCACTCTACTGGATTAGAATCTAATATTGTGGCTCAGGTGATTTTTCTACAAAAACAGGACTTGTTTTAAAGGACAATGCAGCCATTTATTTTACCCTCAGAGAAGAGCGAACAGGCTAAACTCTACGAGTATCAGGCAGGTAACAGCTGGTATCCAAACAGATGCCTACAGGCCAGGTGAGGAGCCTTCCCCCTCTTTGTCAGTTGTTCAAATAAATGAGCCCTTTCACTAATTTTCCTCATCTTGTGTTAAGGATGACACATTTTCTAAAACTTATTATTTATTTTCCCATAAGAGCAACACATATAACCACCCATCATATAGAATTTCTGGAGGGGATTTGGTAGTGTGCATAAATACACCAATAAGCCAGAGATAGGACCCATTTATTTTTTTCAACACTAAGATAGGTAATCTGTGAAGTAAAAGTTAAATATTGAAAAATCTATTTTTCCCATAAAAAAGAAGAAAGAAGTAAACCCACCCTTTACAGACTTTGATTGCATTGACAAAACTTTGTGTTCTATGATGCACTATTTAAGATTAGAAATAATAATCAGATCACGGCTCGTTTTTTATCTTTTATTTTGTCAATTTCTTTTGACATTTTATTTTTTAGAGTTGAGAGACGAAGACAGGTTCACACATTATCCGGAAGTGTTTCTAGTTTTTTTTTGTTTCTCAAAGCTGGGGACAGGAAAGACAAGTCGGCTGTTTTCTGTTTTTCCATTTTTGATTTGGAAATTTAAAAAAATGAAAACACTAGAGTAATTTCCTTTTTCTGGTTTTCAAGGAAAAAAACAAGGACCAGTCCTGCACAATAAAATTGTCCTAAAATGAAAATTTAGATGAAGCAAGCAACAGTAGACAATTGTTTGCATTCCTTGACTTTGCAGCAATCCCTCATAACAAGCATGCAATTTTGGGAAAACAACTACACTGAAACTAGTTTTTAATAAGGAGTGCACTGATTACAGGTTTCTGGCCAATCACCGATTCTAATCATGCCTGCAATGCCAATTCTGATTTTGACATATATATTTATTTTTATACCTGACATTGTCAGTTGCTATGAGATCACAAGACACAAGACATTTAAATATTTTTTTACTGAATTTTTTTTTTTATCGTTGCTGTAAAACAATGTAAGTTTCTGAAATAACTGCGCTCAAATATGAATTATATATAATGATATCTCAACATTCAGAAAATCTAAGCCGATTGATCGGTCGGCTGATAAATCGGTACACCCCTATTTTTTATTTTAAACAGAGGAGATTTCAGGGTTATCAAAAGCTGATGGCTGATGGCAAAGTTCAAGTTTCAGTTTGGCTACCAAACACATAGCAAGTCTTGTCTATGGAACAATCTTGTTATTAGTAAACACAGACGAAATGAGAGTCACTGGCAGAGAAAACAGTAAAAATAGACAGAGACCAAGACAGCTGAAGCTCATGAGAACTTAATCAAAGCGAAAATAATCACTAATCCTAAAAACACAAAAAATATCAATAAGTGAAAAAGCATTAAATGAAATAAACAAATACTAGTAATAGTGATTGCCTTTCTATTCCTGAGTGTTAGATGGCTATTAATGCTCAATATTTGCCAAAAGTCAGACTGAACAAGTTGATCTGGAATGCAGTGGTCTAAATGAGTTAAATGTAAAAATAATTCTAGGTGAAGACATTAAGATGTGATGTGAAGGTACTTCATTAGTGTTTACTGTATGTCTGTTATTTAGAGAAAACAGACATTTTCATGTTTAATTTGTTTATAAGAGAATTTTTTGATAATCAGCTACTGACAATAGTTTTAATTTAACAGAATTATGGTCAGCTAGAAAAAACACAAAACATAACAGGTTGATAAATTACTACAAACCGAGTAACTTAATAGTAAATGTAGACCTTTCTAGCAGAGCTTTTTGAGCCTCTAGGGCATTAGAGGTTGTGCTGTTAAGTTTTCATGGTAATTGAGCCTTTCTTTGTTAATGTGTAACCGCAGTGGGCCTGAAATTCCCCAATGCATCGCTAAATCATGAGTAGAGGAAGAATTTTAACTATTTGGTTAACCCACTATAACCTTAAGGTTTGCTAATGTTGGGATCCTGAGGATTGCCCACCAGAGGGCGCCGAGGATCCTCTTCTGCTTTTTGTTTTCTTTTAGGGACTGGGTTACTGTTGGGATCTGGGGATGTACCACCTTCCACCAGCAGAGTGCGCCGTGGGTCTCCTGGGCTGGAGCCCTCCAGCACACCTGGAGCTCGTCTGCTCATCAGGAACCCTCCCTACATAAGCAGCTGCCAGACCTTCCTTCAACGCCGCAGTGTTGACCTTAGTTTGGTTAGCAACCTGAGCTTCTGTTACCTGAAAGAATCTAAGTTGTCTCTAAGTGAGAAAACTGATTCTAATCCACCTCTGTCTTTGCTCACAGGAAACCTGTCTCAAGCCTGAAGCTCTGGGTGAGCTTAACCTGCCTTCCAGCCCTGGTGAGCCAAACCTGAAGATTCCTATTTGGATATCCCCTGCTGCTCTCTGTGAAGAGCTGGAAACTATGATCAAGGTCTGCCATTCAAAATCAGAAGCTAGACGCTGCAGCTGCTTGTGTACTCTGCTGAACCAACAGTCTCTGGACCCAACGGTTCTCTCTCTCACAAGAGAAGCCTGGACCCCGTCAAGGTAGACTCAGAATTATCTTAAAGGACTCATTAATCATCTGTCTGCCCAGCTTATCAAACTATCCATCTCTACAGACTTCAGTGAACCCAACCCGGACCAGTTCCAGATCCTGTTCATGTTTTTGTGTCAACAATCTTTAATAAACTCTGTTAAACTTTTACCCAGCCTCCGTTGTGTTATGCGTGTGGGTTTGAATTAAAACCATTCATGACAGCTACAAAGTTTTTTTTGTTTAAGAAAAACTTGAACTTAACACAACAGTAAATATGATTTATCAAACTTTGTAAAAAACAATTTATAATAAATCAATTAAAAGGTCTTTTGTTTTGTCATAAAATTTTGGTGTATGCACAATTTAACATTTTGCCACATTGTGGCCAAAAGCTTCAACTGATTTTCTTGGGATTTTTTATGAGATATGGCAAAAGACCAAAGGACAAATTATGAAAATGGGTTATAAATAAGTAGTAGTATAACATGGACATACTCAGCCCTCTAGGTCTGATGCCTAATGCCTTGAAGAGTCACCTTTTGTACATTTACATCTACACCTGTTTTAGTGTACATCTCTACTAACTGGTAGCTTTTTGCTCATTCTTCTTGACATAGTAGTACAACATCAGTCAGAGTGGTCAAAGAGCATCACAGAACAGCCATTTCTAAGCCTGGGATTTGACTGGGCCACTGTGACACATGTTTTATTCTAAGCCACTGCATTATTCATCAGACCTTATCTTTAAGGTTGTTGCACTGTTAGAAGGTAAACTGCTAGAAGGTAAACACCAGTCTGACTTCATCTGGAGCCTCAATATGTTTCCTTTTTCCAGAATTGATATCTTTTTATAAACCTGCTTTCATGTCCCTGCTGTATACCAGCATCCCCACAGTTTGATGTTGATAGCATGTTTTACTGTAGGATAGAGCTTCCAGGTTGGTTGTTTATTCTATCCCACAAATAAAGGTTTTTGATGAAGGTCAAAGGGTTCAATATGGGTTTCTTGTGACCAGAAAACTTTTGTTCATGTTTGATCTGCCTCCTACATGATTTGTGGGAACTTCTTGGCTTCCTTGTAACAGTTGCTTTCGTCTCATTACTCTTTCATCAAGAGTGGTTTTGTGGAGAACATGATTGTCCTGTCCACAAATTCTCCCATCTGAGCTATGGCGCTCTAAACCTGCAGAGATGCCCTTGGTCTCTTTGCTACTTATCTTATCAATAATCTCCTTACTGTGTAACTGTAGATGGATGGCCATGCTTGGTAGATTTGATCAATGTTAGGATCTTAATTTTATAACTTAAAGACTGGTCTTCGTAAGGCTGTTTGTTCACTAATGTTTCGTTAGAAAACATCTAAAGACTTCCCATATCACCTGTTTTCACACATGGAAGTAAAATGGGCACATGATCTAGTTATTAAGTAACTTCTAAAGGTATTACACAATACCTATGTACACTATAAACTTTAAAGGGAAAACCATTATTATGGGCTTTTAAGTCAAACTGTACGTCAAAGCCTATAACAAGGTTATACGGTACTGGTGTTGGAAACTGTTCAGATTTGATGCTGTTTGTCCTTCTTTTCACATCTTTTAATTGATTTAATTTATAAAATACTGAAATCACGCAACATATTACTACATTTAAATGTAAAATTCCAAAATATCACTGGATGTAATAACATAGCTGACAAAAGAAAAGCACAGAATATATGCTTTCCACAAACGGCTCAACTCCAAAGGCAGAGATTTTGTTGGTCTTTCACAAATAATCTTCAAGATTTTTTTAAATGAAAGGATCTATACTTGACATTGTTGCCTAATATAAGTTAACAGAAATTAAACCAGTGATATGAAAAAACAGTCGGCCATTCAAAATAAAGATGCTCACAACATATAAAACAGCCTAGGTTATTTAAAATTTAAAATCAAAGCTCTTAAAATCACAAATCGAACTTCACTGGGTATGAAAAAGTCATTCTGTTGACTTTCTAAAACAGAGCTTGCAGATACAACTGTTTTTGAAGGAAATAAAATGTTTTTGTCATTTTTTTCATTATGTGAGGGGGGAAAAATCGATTAATTGGATTTGGAAGGAAAAATCCGAAGATTCGATTTTAAAGCTAAATTGCCCAGCATTGCATCCTAAAGGGGAATATAATATTCTCCACAGTGCAAAAGTTTTAAGACGAGGCATTCCTAAAATGATTTGATCACAGATTTATGTTGTAAAACCCGAAGATTATTAGTGGCCCCCATTCAGACACCCTTTACAAAACTTTCTGCACCCTTGAAACTGCATCTTTTTAGTGAATCTATATAATTATATTCCATGAATGACCTTAAATGATCTTAAATGTGCAATCAACAGTGTTGTATTAACATAGATGGTTAGCCATTCACAATTTATAAAGTAAAGTTTGTTTTAGAGACAAGTAATGGTACCTTAGAGATAATATATCCCCTGAATAACATAGTAACTACCAGCTTCGGTGTGTATTTAAAACAAGATAAGCAGAAATAACTGTCCTCTGAAAGCTTAACTAGGTAAACTAGCTGTGATTGAACTGGTAGCCTCGGGCTTTGGGTTTAACTTAAACAAACCTATCTGAGTAAACAGCCATTGGGTTTTGTTTACTTACCTCTGAGGGCAGATATGAGCATGTTTCCATCTTTGATCAGGTCTTTTATAAATCTGTTAGTTCTCTCCAGTTCGATTTCATGGCACTGCAGCCGCTCTCTGAACTCCGGACTATCCAACAAGGAATCACTGAACTCCAACGTCGGGAGACCCATCGATAACTCAGCACACACCGCTAATAATCAAAGAACTGCAATAAGTTGGAATGTGTGCCGTTGGAAGGGGGAAAAAAGCTTTTACATACCGTAGGCACGGAGATACTTTCTCTAATGTTTCTTCAAGCTCCCTTTTTTCATGCCTTTTTCCCCTTTCCCCCCTCGCAGAACTTCCGGACACTGATATGCAGCAGAGCTTCTGAACTACAGAGGGTTTGGCTAGCTTTCCCAGCAAGCCTTTCCCGGCTGTTCCTTCTACTTTATATACGAACTGAACCTAAATATAACTTCACTTTGAATTCCTAGATAATACAAAAAAAACCCTAAAAGACTTAAAATCACAGAACCGAAAACTGTACCTGGCTTAAAGCACATAAAACCCAAGGCGACGCTGGGAAGCTAACTTTCTTTACGGGTCTAATGGAAGACGTTGTTACTATGGGAACGGGAGACTCCTGCTGGCGTAGACAGAAATTTAGACAATACGCCAAGAAACTAACGTTTTAAGCAGCGTCTGGTTTTAAACTGTACAGTCATTCACTCAAACAATGGCGTAAATATCGGTAAGCAGAGACTGCAGTTGCTTAGGGGACCCGTCACTGACACCTGGTATATGGCAAGCCAAAAAAATTCTCTTTTACACACCTGGTACCATGTTGGTTGTCCAGAGTCAGACCTTATTTATACCCCAACACATGCCAGATTTCTTCAGGATGGTGAGCCGTTTAAACACGACACCAATAAAGCAGCAGTGGTACTTTTAATTACTATGTTAATAAATGTGTATAGTTCATTAGACGGTTGGTAAAAAAATACACCAATATAATATGTTTCAAACTGCAATAAATAAATAAATAAATGGTTTTTAATGGGGGTACCGAATAAAATAATGAAACATGAAAAGAGGCAAAAGGTCATAACTTGATTGATTATATGAAGTAAAGAGATATTTGCAACTCCGGAACTCCAAAGATATATCTCAATATGACTAAACGCACCAGAGCGTTGATGTTTTTTTGTTTTGGTTTTTTTCACTCTGCCACCCATTCTGTTATTTTTATACACCTTTTAAGGTCCACATTTGTGTGACCACTTTTTCTATAATATTTTGCTGCTGTAACACCACAATTGTCCCATTGGCAATGAAGAGATTTTCTATTCCATTCTATTTTTAACAGGATGGAGGGTAAAAGTGCAACAATTTATTTTTTAAATTATCAATAAAATAAATCTTTTTTTTTAAAATAGCCTAAGGGACTTATCAGCTGCGGTTTTTGCTCCAGTACATGTCATAATTTGATAATTTTATCAATCATTTTATCTTTTTTATATATTAATCTTTTTTCAATATTGATTTTGATTATCTTAATAAACCTATGTTACCTTTATGCCACTGCATTTTACTTTTCTTCCTCTCTTTATTCATGAACAGTCCTTTAAATCGTGGCAGCCTAGTTTGAGGAGTGGCGCCACATAATATATCTTATGTGTGATAAGATATATAATGATATAGAAACTCTCTCTAAACAGTTGTTTTTGTGTTTTAATTTAATTGCTATAGACTGTTGAAAGCATATGAAGAGGAACTTAAAACTTTCAACATATAAATCAACAGAAAGCTGAAGACAATATTCCAAGCAGCCATAGCTGAATGGCAGATTCTCATAGCATGAAATGAAGCCACCATAATGCTAAATACTTCTTGTAAAGAGAAAGGGAATGTTTTGGGTTCAGCTGAGATTTTTGAAGTTTAATTGGCAATCCTAATCTGACTTTTCTCGTGAGTTGCACAATGTGGTACTTGTTAGTCTTTTTTTTGTTTCATGAAGAAGGTTTTGTGTTTCAAAGCTTTCTCTGAGGTCTTTCTGCACCAAATTTCCATGTTCTCCTGTGCATTCCAGTAGCCAGATTAAAATGTGTAGAACTAAGTTGAGATGTGAGACTCGCAATGTTAGTGCATCCATGCTGCCAACAGGCAAGACTTTTCATTTTGTGTGCATTGGTGCATGAGTTTGTTCCTGTAAGTTATGTCCTGTCTGTCCGTGTTGCCATTTGATGGCCCGGTGACCTGGGTATACCCCACCTGTCAACAAATGACTGCTGGACAAAGACACCAGCTACCACAAGGCCCTGCAAGCACCAGTTCTCTGTCCATATTAGGGCCCCTTTTATCTAATATCTACATGCTCCCCTAACTCAGATCTTAATAAACAACATTAGTTGCTATAACTATGCAGACCAAAGAACAGTATGTTTTTCCGTAAAAATTCAAAAAATATCCACTGGACTTGGTTTTCAAGATTTGAAGACGTTTCGCCACCTCTCCAGGAAGCTTTCTCAATTCAAATGTCTGGATCCGCAGTGAGTTTGAGTCTTATATGGACAAGGCCTTGTATTGCTTGGAAACATGCAATGGTAACCGATGCATGTTGCATGTTTCCAAGCAATACAAGGCCTTGTCCATATAAGACTCAAACTCACTGCGGATCCAGACATTTGAATTGAGAAAGCTTCCTGGAGAGGTGGCGAAACGTCTTCAAATCTTGAAAACCAAGTCCAGTGGATATTTTTTGAATTTTTACGGAATGACTATGACCTGGATGACTGAGAACCTTCATCAGCATAAAGAACAGTATGATGTCACCAGGTGACTATGAACCCATTTGAGCGCTGACTATATGCATAGAAGAAATCCATGTATGGATGAGCCACAATATTCTTCAGCAGAATCAAGACAAAATTAAGTAATTATACATTTATAATTCTAGAAACCACCAATCTAAGTTTAGGGACTCAGATCCAACACTTCAGAGACCCATAGAGTAACAAAATTGGGCCTTTTATCACCTAAAGAACACCTCCAGGATTTCAGGACTAATGTCTTAGCAGGAGCTTTGAAAACTAATCAATGCATTCTCTTTATTAGAATGTATTACTGCAATGGTATCTCCACAGCTGGTCCAGAATGCTGCTTCCCTCATCCTCACAGAAACAAAGAAAGGGGGGATATTAGCCTGGTATTAAAATTGCTGTAGTATCTCAGTGAATAGACTCTAGAATATTTCTGTTAGTCTACAAATTCTTTAATTGTTTAACTCCAAAATACAAAACATTACAGTCTTGCCAGTGTATCACTGACTATAGCTCTCAGGTCTTTTGGCTGAAATCCTGTTTGTATAACTAGAGCCAGAAACAAACATGGAGAAGCAGCATTTCGTTTTTTGCTCTACAAATCTGGAAGAAGCTCCCAGAAAACCACTAAAAACTCTGAAACCCTCAGCTGCTTTAAATTAAGACTAAAAACACATTTGTTTAGAGTGGCCTTAGACTGTAATGTAATATCTATTATTAGTGAAGTTTCCAGTATACTTCTAGTTCCAATTTCTTAATCATTTCATCATTTTCAGATACAATCCTCTTATTTTGATATATCAATTCTATTCTCTTTTAGTATTTGTGTTGCCTCTATGTCACTGCAATGGACTTTCCTTTCTTTCTCATTTACAGCACTTCCAATTATCTTTCCAGTGAAATGTGCCATATAAATAAACTTGCCTTGCGCCCGAAAAAATATATTTATGAATTAAGGTCTGCTTAAGAACAGGAAATGACAGTCAAATTGAGGCGTTATAAAATGTTGAAAAAGTTAATGATTTTGGCAGCATGTCATCTTAAAAATCTGTTGTTTTTTTATTGTTTTTAACTCCCAATCATAAGAACATCTGAATAGGACGGGGCTGCTTAAATAGAAAGTAATACTGCTGCAGGAGTTTGCCAGGTGAATACAAAGAGGCACATTGGATTACTGAACACTGGCCAAAGCCTCTGTGGTAACCTCTGAACAGACTCTCTCTGAATCACTTTCGCTTGTTTCATTATGTGTAATAGAATACAATGGTCTCAAATTCACTTTCACCATCACACTTTCTGCCGTGCATCTGAATAGTCCTGCTTCCCAATAGATTTCATCACTGCACGTCTCAGATGTCCCTTTGTTTCTTCGTTTTGTTAGTCTCTAATAAAGCTGAATCCAGGTTCATGCTTCCCTTGAAAACAAGCTGCCTCAATGTTTAACACTGTCTTGGTGATCCTGCTGTTTTATTGTTGAAGTTAGTGAGCCCTGTGTGTGTGGAGAAGAACTGCACACCATGACAACTGCTGAATACAAGCTAAAGTCGCTCTGATACACACAACCACAGCTGAGGAATGCAGACAGATTAGTTTGATGTCAGCAAATGTATTATCCACAACAAAGGATAATACATTACAGCATACTCAAACTATTTAATGCAACTTTTTTTTTTTTTATCTAGGAGACAGACCTTTTTTAAAATTTACTGAAAGTTCTTGTACACAAACACTGGGTATGGTCCTGTCTCTGCTGAACCAGGGTAAAAAAAATGCTTTTGATTATGCTTTTAATCAGACAAAGTGTTCTTTGAAAATGGCTACATAAGACGCCACTCTCTGCAGCCATGAATTGTTTCTGCGCAGTCAGGTTTTCAGAGGAGAGTCTCAGACTATGTTGGCTATAAACTCATAAATTTTGCACAATACAACAAATGAAGTCAATGATCTTGTATAATCAGTCAGTTTAATTATTATTTTCTTTTAATAATTGTCCTTCTTCCAGTAAGTAAGTAAGTAAGGAAGAAAGGAAGGAAGAAGGGAAGGAAGAAAAAGAAAGAAAGAAAGAACGAAAGAAAGAAAGAAAGAAAGAAAGAAAGAAAGAAAGAAAGAAAGAAAGAAAGAAAGAAAGAAAGAAAGAAAGAAAGAAAGAAAGAAAGAAAGAAAGAAAGAAAGAAAGAAAGAGGAAGCCACGAGTCACTGTTATATATGAAATAAAATAATGATCAGGTTTTAATCAACTTTAGGAGCGATCATACAGAGAAGAAGCCCCTCATCCTCAAAGGGAAACAGCAGGAGGTGCAGTGTATCTGGAAAAAGATAAGTACAATGGTAACTATTGACACCCAGTGATTCCAGGTGGGAAATTTAACAAACAGCTCAGACAAAATCACAGAATGAGATTTATCCTGTCTGTCCTTTCAATGAAGGAATATAACTCATTGCTGTCTACAGCCTGAAAACATCAACATTAGCCCTGATGTCAGGTGTAAACTGTTGACATCTCCTGTTGCTTTGTCACTGCGCACAAAAAAGGTAACCTCAACTGGCTTATTATGGGACCAATGGAAGTGGAAGAGCAAAATCTGGCTTTATTTAGGTGACACAGACTTCTGAATGCTAACCTGCATAAGTACAGTCATGTTTGAGATAAAACTCTGCTATTTTCATCCTGAGGCAATGCAAAGGAAGGTTACTGTAACGTCTTTTACATCTATAAATCCTTTGACGAGACAAAATATTCTCACAACAGGGTTATTATAGCTAACTATAACAAACGCAAACTGAAACAGAATTTTTTTCTTTGGAAAAGACACTGATTAGTAAATTTCTTTATCTGGATGGATTAAATTGATCTGAGATTATAAAGTCAAAAGCCCTAGTGTTATATTTGACCAGATCTGAGGTTCCTAGAATTTCTAAAAGTAGAATGGGAGGCAGATCTTTTAGTTATCAGACTCCTCTCCTGTGGAACTAACTACCAGTTTTAGTCCATGATGCAGACTTTACTTTTAAGCTAAAACTTTCTTTTTGATAAAGCTTAGATATAAAGTGGCTCAGGTTATCCTGGGCTATCTGTTTAGATATATGCTGCTATAGACTTAGACTGCTGGAGGACATAGGGGCCACTTTTTATTATTCTGCTTCATTTTCTCTATTCTCCCATTTTGCAGTGTTTGCTAGTTTAATCTCTAGCATGATGTTCTCTCTGCTGTTTCCTTATCAGACAGAGCTAAATAGAAATTATCTACAGACCAGTGCTTCTATGTTCATTTTGTACGTCCGCGTCTGTCTCTTTGAACCCCAGTCAGCCTTGACAGAAGGCTTATCACACTGAGCCTGGTTCTGCTGGAGGTCTCTTCCTGTTAAACGGGAGTTTGTTTCCACAGATGCTGCATGCATGCTTGGTGTGAGGGATTACTGATGGGTCAACGACTCTAGGAAACACCCCCCCCAATAACTTTGAATTGAGATCTGACACAATTATCTCCAACAACTGAAACTGCATTGTGTGTTTATATGACTAAGACGTACTGAAATTATGGATACATGATCTTTGTTTTCATGTTTAGGATTTCAGAATTCTCCCTCAGCGTGATCAATACAGTGATGCAGCAGCAAACCTAGAAGCAAGTAAAGCATTGGTTCTGGATGAGCAGAAAGAATGACTACTAGTAGGAAACTCTAAATCTGGCCTTCATGGAAGAGTTACAAGAATCCAACATTGGTTAAATGAAAGACACGGGCAAACATCTACTCTGGTTAGTTACAAGTAAAAACAACTATTGTACATCTCTCTAAACTCCATAGTGAAACATGCTTGTAGCATCATTATGGTCTGGGAACATTTTTCTTCAGCAGAGTCTTAATTGATGTGGATACTAGAGGAATGGTACTGTTGTCCACAGATGCTATCCAGACAAACTCAATGGGTACATCATCTACATCTTCCCATATGGAAAATATATTTTTGTTGAGATGATTTTCTATGGGCTTCTAAACTGTATCAAACGATAATTCTGTCTTAAAGTATAATACTTTATAAGGGGAGTGGTCGTGGCCTAGTGGGTAGGGCATAGGGCTTGGAATCCTGAGGTTCTTAGTTCCAGCCCCACTCCCACAGACTGCCACTCTTGGTTAACCCCACATTGCTCCCTTGGTGTTGCACAATGGCAGCCCACTGCTTCCCAAAGGGATGGGTTAAATCCATAGAGTGAATTTCGTTACTCTGTACTTGGATAGTGTAATGACAAAACAGTAGAAAAAACCTCACACAATGTTAATTAGTAAAAATATTATAAAATATATTGATATAATATTTTCAGACAACCAAAGGCGATGAAAAAAACAAAACAGATCCTGATATGTAGAAACAGGAAATAAACGTTTACTGCTTTATTCCAAAATTGAGACACAGTAAAAGGGTGATAACATACTGAAAAGTCACATCAAGTAGATCAACAATCCGCAATATTTTGATCTGACCACCTTAAAAACAGCAAGAACACCATCATCATCATCTCCTGTCTCTGTATCTGCGCTCCTCTCTGTTCCTGTCCCGGTAATCTCTCCTGTCGCTCTCTCTATACCGGGGCCTGTCCTCCCTGGCCCTCGGCTCCCCTCCTCGCTCCTGAGTGACTCCGGGTCCAAGGTTGATCGGTTTCCGGAAGGGTCTGTCTCTTCCGCCGAAACGCAGCTGTCCGGACTCCTTTTTACCGCCCAACCCACCACCGAGCCGCCGTGGCACCCATCCTCTCAGCGTCCTCTCCTGCTCGAAGTCCACAAACACTTCGTGTTGGTCGACCAGCAGCTTGTCAGCGTCCCTGCGAGCCCGGCTCACGGAGCGCTCCTCTTTGTACTCGATGAAGGCGTATCCTTTAGAGAAGCCCGTTACGATGTCCCGAACCAGTCGGAGCCGCTTGATGTCGCCGTACTTTGAGAAAACCATCCGCAGCTTTTCTTCAGTTGTCTGAGGGTTCAAGCGGGCCACGAACAACGTAAGCAGCGGGTCTCCAACGACTCCCTTGTTGAGCTTATAGCGGGCAGACATGGCCCTCCATACCGCCCGGTCATGAGGTTCCACGTCTGTCCCATCGATGCTACCAGCTTTCAGTGGGTTGTAATCTTTCGCTATCGCACACCAGTCGGACATTTTTGCTGAAGTGGGTTTTCAGGCCTTTGATAAATCATTATGATCAAGAAACTACATACTACCGTTGACTGCTCCTTCGGATTGTCGAGGTGCATCCACAAAAATAGCCCGTAAGGAAACGAGGTCACAAATAATTGGTTCCTATGCCACAGGGGTTCTCCGATTGTATTTTTGGTAACTCTGTATAAACACCACTTTGCAGAAAACAGGGAAAAATCGTAGAATTGCAGGAACTGCAAGGTCACACCAACAGTATGCTATTGACGTGTATTATATGTGATATCTTACCCACTGTAAAAAAAAAAAACCAGTTACTTAAAAAGTAAATTATATCTAATAGGATTAGTGAAAAGGTTAAAAAGTTAATTTAAAATGTAAAACTAACAAGTAAAGAAAAAGAATAAATACTGTTTCGGTATCAGCATCAATCTTCTGAGGGTTATGTAGAACAAAAAAACAATTTTTGAAAGTGCTTTTCACAAATTTCTTATAGAATAACTATATATATATATTTTACCATATTAGTTTTTTTTTTTAATTAAAATTACCTTGAAAGCATATATATATAGTTCTAAATGTTACAAGAAATAATGTCTATTTCGGTCCTCCACCAAAACTCTTGGCTTGAAATTTTGAATTTAAAGCACTTCACTGAGTGCCCTATAAAGGGGTTAATGCAGGTGTGTTTTGGCCTTTCTAACTAATTACATAGGGCAGATTAGAGCACTAAGACATTTTCATACAGTAAAGACAATATAGTACATAAAAGAGGAACAGAGCAGAACGAGGAAGATTTTTACCTATATTTGAGTTTTCAAGACGTAAAATTCTTGGAAGGCCAACAGTTAACTCAGGAGGTAAACATGGCCAGCATGAAAACAGCCGGGAACTTGACTTAAATATACATATCCAGGACAAATAAAATCGTCATTTAAAAACTGATCTTAAAATGTGTATGATAGTCTAAAAAGAAAACTTTTAAGAAGCCTTAAAAGGCCAAATCCCAGCACTGTACATACCCTATCCTACTGCTGTATTACTTAAAGCTACAGTGTGTAATAATTACAGGGATATACAGTCAGAAATGCAATATATTATACATAACTATGTTATTTATCATCATCTACGAGCTCAGCCTCTTAACCTTAATATTTGCGTTGCCTTAGAATTCGTTATTTATAATTACATAGGAGCGGGTCTCGCAGCCATGGAGGCAGACATCTTTGCGCTACGGCAGCGCAGAGCCAACAAACTAGTGATTGCGAGATCGCCAAAATGTCACAACGATGTAGTAAAAATAACGGGTATATTTATTATCTTAAGTCTACATGAAATCTATACCCTACACAGACTAATGAAATACTATCTGTAAAATTATCTATGTAAACCAACCTCATCACTTGAGAAGGTAGGTGATGCGGACGTCGTGGAAGACATTTTGTCCCGTAACGCTCGCCGTACTGTTGGGGGGGAGAATTGGTGGGGGGGAGATGTTCATGTTGCTGCAGTCTGACCGCTTTAAAATACCTACAAACACTTAAACCTGGTTTGGTTCTGGTGTACCTTAAGAAACAATAAAAAACACTCCACACAAACTTTACAAAAACATTTTTTAATGATAAAAACTGTGAAGACTAAGTATCTTTATTTGGCTGGATAACAAAGTCATTAAGATGATGGTACTTTCTGGCTATTTACATTGTGATGCGGCTTAAATACAGCAACAAACTGAATTAGATGGAACTAAAAAACTTTCCAGCCAATCAAAATATTTGTTAAAGTTACAGTTATTTTATCAGCAAAGTAGTCTGCTCCTGGTTTACATTTACATGTCCTCCACACTCCATTTGTAAGCTGCCTCCTGAACGGCTTTTTTATCAGCTATTCGTGTATAACGCTTCTGTTCGAATCCATTGGATCTGTAAGACATGACATAAAACAAGATTGTCATCACAGCAGTCTTAGAAATTCAGAAAGAAAAATAAACAAAAAATTTAGTTGCTCATGCTGTGCAAATAACTGCTTTGGTAAAAATACAGGTGCTGGTCATAAAATTAGAATATCATGAAAAAGTAGATTGATTTCAGTAATTCCATTTAAAAAGTGAAACTTGTATATTATATTCATACATTACATACAAACTCATATATTTCAGATGTTTATTTTGTTTAATTTTGATGATTACAAATGACAACAAATGAAAATCTCAAATTCATCATATCAGAAAATTAGAATATTACTGAAGACCAATAAAAACAAAGGATTTATAGAAATGTTGGCCAACTGAAAAGTATGAACATGAAAAGTATGAGCATGTACAGCACTCAGTATTTAGTTGGGCCTCCTTTGGCCTGTATTACTGCAGCAATGCGGCGTGGCATGGAGTCGATCAGTCTGTGGCACTGCTCAGGTGTTATGATAGCCCAGGTTGCTCTAATAGTGGCTTTTAGCTCTTCTGAATTGTTGGGTCTGGTGTATTGCATCTTCTTCTTCACAATACCCCATAGATTTTCTATGGGGTTAAGGTCAGGAGAGTTTGCTGGCCAATTAAGAACAGGGATACCATGGTCCTTCAACCAGGTACTGGTAGCTTTGGCACTGTGTGCAGGTGCCAAGTCCTGTTGGAAAATGAAATCTGCATCTCCAAAAAGTTGGTCAGCTGCAGGAAGCATGAAGTGCCCTAAAACTTCCTGGTATGTGGCTGCGTTGACCCTGGACCTCAGAAAACACAATGGACCAACACCAGCAGATGACATGGCACCCCAAACCATCACTGACTGTGGAAACTTTACACTGGACTTCAAGCAACGTGGATGAAGTGCCTCTCTTCTTTTCCTCCAGACTCTGGGACCTTGATTTCCAAAGGAAATGCAAAATTTACTTTCATCAGAGAACATGACTTTGGACCACTCACCAGCAGTCCAGTCCTGTTTCTCTTTAGCCCAGGCAAGACGCTTCTGACGCTGTCTGTGGTTCAAGAGTGGCTTGACACAAGGAATGCGACAGCAGAAACCCATGTCTTTCATACGTCTGTGTGTGGTGGTTCTTGAAGCACTCACTCCAGCTGCAGTCCACTCTTTGTGAATCTCCCCCACATTTTTGAATGGGTTTTGTTTCACAATCCTCTCCAGGGTGCGGTTATCTCTTTTGCTTGTACACTTTTTTCGACCACATCTTTTCCTTCCCTTCGCCTCTCTATTAATGTGCTTGGACACTGAGCTCTGTGAACAGCCAGCCTCTTTAGCGATGACCTTTTGTGTCTTGCCCTCCTTGTGCAAGGTGTCGATGGTCGTCTTTTGGACAACTGTCAAGTCAGCAGTCTTCCCCATGATTGTGTAGCCTATAGAACTAGACTGAAAGACCATTTAAAGGCTTTTGCAGGTGGTTTGAGTTAATTAGCTGATTAGAGTGTGGCACCAGGGGCCATCAATTTTGAACCTTTTCACAATATTCTAATTTTCTGATATGATGAATTTGAGATTTTCATTTGTTGTCATTTGTAATCATCAAAATTAAACAAAATAAACATCTGAAATATATGAGTTTGTATGTAATGTATGAATATAATATACAAGTTTCACTTTTTAAATGGAATTACTGAAATCAATCTACTTTTTCATGATATTCTAATTTTATGACCAGCACCTGTACACTCTTTTGTTAGCTGCATTTGAAGATAATCAATTCCTTAAATAAAGCTTTACCTATCGACTCCATCCCACCGATAACCAGGTTGAATGTTAAAGCGATTTGGAGGTGGCGGAGGCCCTTGGTATCGAGGTTTCACTGTGAATCAAATAAGAAAAACTTCTTGCTGAGGTGTCGCTTTGTTAAGCTGCTAAAAACTGTCTTCATCGAGGGAGATGATTCAAAAAAACGTAGGGAAATGTTTCAAACCTTGTGTTTTTGTGTTGCGCTCCTTTTTGCGCCTGAGCATCGCAGCCATTGGATCCCCTTCCCTTTCCTGCTCTCTCAACATACGGTCAAGATCCTCGTCGTCATAGTGACGCGCCAATGGCTTCTGGGCTTCATGTAGCGCATCATCGAGCTTCTGCTGCTGCATCTGTCCCTGGGCCAAGCTGTAGATACATTTGTATTTAATAAACCCAATTACACGTTTCAGGTGTTAAATAACACTTTACTCTTCAACCCATATTTACCCTTTCCCCCACTGGGCATATTTCTCATCCTTTGCAGCTTTTTCTCCCGCTTTTCTCTTTTGTTCTTCTCTTTCTGAATCCAGATCCCTCTTTTTACCACTTTTGTCTCGGAAAACCGTCTGGGCATTTCGGGAATCATCTAGTTAAAGTACATAAACCAAAATTCAGGGCTAGATTTTTTGGATTCAATAGTTTAGACACAATCAATGTTTATGATGATAAAAGATGAGAATTAAAATTATATTTTACATCATTCAATCTAATAAAAGCAGAAAGAAGGAGAAAAGATCAAACCAACCTTCTAGTGGCTGATTGCTTTTCTCTCGTCGTCGGTTCTCTTCCTTTTCTTTCTTTAAGACATCAGTAGAAACCAGACCTGCTTTTACCCCAGAAAGCATCCTAGGGCCCTATAAAAAGTACGGAAAATGTACAAACTTTGCTACAAAACATATAATTAAATAAATTCACCATTTTTTGTTAAATGAATGTTGGGCATTAGGTTATTTTTTTGACTTACCTGTGAGGCAGTACCTCTACGAGGTGGGGACAGGTCCCCATCTGAGTCTCTTCCGCCTCGTGGTGGCCGTCTAGGTGGGGACTGGTCAGAATCAGAGTCCTGTCTTAATTTTTGATGTCTCCTTGGCGGAGATTGATCCGAGTCGGATGCCTCTCTATTTGCGGTCTTTTTTCGTGGAGGCGACTGGTCGGAATCTGAATCGTGCCTATTTTTAGTGTGCGGCAATCGACGCTGATCAGGGGAACGCTTACTTGAACTGTGCTTGCTTCTGCTGGGAGATGAATCTACAAAAGGAAACAAAAGTTTACTCAACATTTTCGTTTAGTGGCAGTCACGATGTACAAACTAATTTAAAGATGTAATGGATTTTTATTTTATCTCTAACAGTTTCTTTACATTTAAAATCACAATACAGACACACAATTTACTGGGATTTGACAGGATAGAGAAATAGAAGGTAAAACATACTTGAAGGAAAATGATGCATGACAATCAGCTTCTGACGAAACTAGTTACTAGTTAAAAGTCTACTTGTGTGTAATATAGTCTCTGTAAGAATGGAGCTGCTCTGAGAAGGTCTCAGCAGTTTGTTAGAGAAATTCAATGAACAAAAAGCATCACAAGAAGCTAAGGTACAAAGTAGTGGTGTGCGGACCGACCAGCCCCCGATTAAAATTGGCAGACTTTCATGAAAAAGTATGCGATCGATGATCGCCGACTGCTAAAACCGATCAACTATGTCTCTTACTTTGCAGCCTGCAGTGTATCTCCCCCTTAACTTCACACTTCGCCGCGCGCCAGCAAATCCTAAGCACTGTCGTATGGAAATTATGTGCTTAGAGAATAATGTGAAGTTGGAGTCTGGCAACGGAAAAAAACCCTTGGAGATAAAGGATGTTAAAATGCATCAATGCAACGAATAAAGTGGCATTTAAAAACAAGCACTTGACACAATATTATGAGTAATTGAGGCACACTGCAGGAAAAAAAAGATGGCAGGTAGAGAACAAACAGTTGGCTACACGCTTCTCCATGAGCATGACGGTCAGAAAAAAATAACCCGCAAAATGATGGAATTAATCGTGCAAAGGACCAGCAGAAAAATACTTTTGGTTCCACTGGCAGCCCTAAATGTTGGACCGCGCTGCTGGGGTGTAAATATGTCGGAGACATATTCTGCAATCTTTTGATCGAGTCTGACAGTGAGCGCCTCCTAAGGGCTGCAGGATGTGTCTTAAAAACAGTAATGTATTCACTTTTGTGTTAACATTTTTGCTATGTCCTAACATGAAGCAGATAATGTGTGTAATCTGTTGGTAGATTTTTCCATTCTTCCTTCTGACTGATTCCGACCTCTTGCATTTTGCCTGCAAGGTTTTTATGTATGTTTCGTCTAAATTAAGTGATTTTCTATTAATCAATTTGCCAGATTACATAGTTGTAGAAAATCAAAAAATGAACAGTCAATCATGGGTGATCCTGAAACATCCCTAGTATAACAAAATTTAAGAAACAGGGAACTGGACCATAGTAACTTGAAAAGACTTTTCATAGAATCAAAATATATATCCTTTAAATAAGCATGGCATGAAAAGTCGCATTTGTAGTTTGCCAAACAGAAAGCAAACTAAAACAGGTTAAACAAGGTGCTCTGATAAGAAAGGGTGAAATGCTAACTTGAGATAAACCAGATTGCTATGTGTAATTCAATTTGAAATCTTAATGTTATCCATCTGGGAAGCCTTATGTAGAGAGTGTTCGCTAAAGGGAGGGACATTCAGCACAATTATTCGAGCTGACATCATAAACCTGACTGCATTTCATTGGTCTGAAATATTTCTGTATCGCAGCTTCGCATCTGTCGGCTTCTGGCAAGGAGTTTTAGAATTCATAAATCTCACGACAGTTCATCTTGCTTACAAGGCAGGTAAAATGCCATTGGTGGAGGAAACTTAATGCTGCAACTCCTACTGTACCCTTATCATACTCATTGTTAAACAAGGTGGTGGAAGCCCTGTGATTCGGGATGCTATTTTTGTTTTGCAAGGCACTACCTAAAAATAAATGGGATCTCATATTCTTTAAAAAGTGCTGTTATCATTGAAGTCTCAAATTGTTTAATTGTGTTTACTCAAATAGAGTCAGAGACAAGATTATATTGGGAAAAAAAAACATTAAGTTATTGACCACCCACCTTTACTTTGCAGCTTTCTCTGCTTCCCTGAATGTTGCCTTGGAGGTGACAAGTCTGGAGAGTCGTGTCGATTTCTCCTGGGAGGGGATGCGTCAGGTGAGGTATGGCGATTTTTCCTGGGAGGAGATGCATCTGGAGAGTCATGGCGAGCTCTCCTGGGTGGCGACACATCTGGAGAGTCATGACGGCCTTTCCTAGGAGGAGAAGCATCTGAAGAGTCGTGTCTCTTTTTTATGATAAGAGAGTCAAGGTTCTTTCCCTTTAGTGAGCGCTCTGAGGAGTTGGTGGGTATTTTGCTTGATGCAACAGGTTCTGTATCTTCTCTTCCCTTCTCCTCCTCCCTTTCCTCATCAACTATAGAAAATGAAACTAGTAGTTCATATCAGTCTAAAATTAGACAAACCAATAAGACTTTTATTTTTGTTTCAGTTACCTCCAACAACTTTCCATCTGTTGCTCATTCTGAAGGCTTCCAGTTGTTTAACTTCATCTGGTCGCTCATCAATTACCTCAGCAATCTACGAAGGTAAACAAAGTTTTAAAAACAGACGCGTTTGTCATTCTATTATTAAAGCATCTACTATCTTCTATTATCACAAAAAACATCAATCAGCTAGAGCATTAAAACAACAGGCAGAAGATGTTGATAACCTTCTTTTTGCAATCAAAAGAGTATCTTGTTTGAGTGGAGCTTTCTTCAACATGCACTACCCATCTACACTTTATTGAAACTCAAGATGGCTCCAACAGGAAGCATTCATCTGGCATACAATATTTACTAAGCAGGAAACAGAAAACTATGATACCCTGGCTCATGGGGGAACAATCAGACAAACGGAACTTAAGGATGACTTTTTAAGTTTTGGTGTAGTGCACCTAAAACATGTTGATAATCTAATGCTGACGAGATCTACTAAAACCAGATGTGGATTTGAGAAAACAAATATTTAAGTATTTCTCTAACTTGAGATATTTATAGCAATATTGTATTAACAAGCGGCTGAAATCAGTTTTCTCCATAGTGTGTCTGGGCTCTCCCTTAGAGATAGAGTGAGGGGCTCAGTAAAACCGCTGCTCCTCCACATCGAGAAGGAGCCAGTTGAGGTGGCTCGGGCATCTGGTTAGGATGCCTCCTGGACGAGACCCAGGACAGCTCCTCTGGTTCCCAAGAAGGAGCTGGCCCAAGTGGCTGGGGAGAGGGACGTCTGGCCCTCCCTACTGAAGCTGCTACCCACGCAACCTGACCCCGGATAAGTGGAAGAAGATGGATGGATAGAAGGATGGATGCATTACCCATTTAAACCCTTATTCTTAAATATATACATCGATTACTAATATATACTCTGAAACATGACTTTAACTGACAGAGCAACCCACTAAAAACAGTAATTACATAAAAATTATAAAAAAAATGTCGCAAAAAATGTTCTTTAAGGAACCTTTGGCTATCTGATTATTATTTGATTAATCCAAAAGATTATTATGCATACATTATCATCATACATTCATAATCATATATATATATAATTAGGATGTGGTTGTGTGTGTATAGAGGAAATATGAAGTTGTAAAGTAGTCAGGGAATGAATTAACTAAGGCTAGCATGTAAGCTAATGTTTCCTCGGCGCTTACCACTGGAGCTTCCTCTTCATCTTCCTCTGCCTCTATCTGCTCCTTCACCATCTGTCTCCAATCGATGTCATCGTCCACTATTTTGAGTCTTTAAATACAACGAAGCAAGCTAAGTTATTATTTTGTCCCACGCGCTAAACCACAGTTGGCTAGCTGACTAGCTTATGAGCTAATCCAGAGTAAATCTACTGCAGCTTGGTTTATCCTCAACTTACCCTCTCTCAGGAATCTTACGTCGTTTCTTTTTTTTCTTCTCTTTTGATTTACTGGAATCTTCTGCTGATAAATACCGTTTTAGGTACTCAGCTTTAGAAAGTTCGGCTCCTTTGCTGTTGCTCGTTGTGGCGGCCATAGCTGGATGTTTTCGGAAACTACGGATGACGCTAAGGGTCTTACTTCAGTTAGCGAACACCCTGAAGTGGCCCCATATCAAGGGCCTCTCATTTTAGTGATATCTGGCAAAACAACATCGAGGCGCATTATCTACCGGCTAAAAAAAAAAGTTATTCTTTTAACTAGTACATGCTACTGATACTACCAATTGCTTGTAGTATTAGTACTGAGATTATACTGCTCCTTTTCCTGTTTTCCGGTTCTAGACTCCTTACTAATTCTGTTTTTGTGTCTGGTATTACCTACAGATATATCTGTAACTAACATCACATAATTCAAATCTTGCTGTTTCATGTTTTTCAATTAAATATGATTTTGAATTAAGTCCTGTATGCCTCAACCACAGTCTAGTTATTATCCTGTCTTGTATTCTTTTTCTTCCAATTCTCTTTCAAACTGACACTCCTCTGTATCCTTCCTTTTACATTTTCTTTCCGCTGGATTTAAAATTTTTCTTGGATCTTTTAAGAATACTTTTAACCTCTGATTTACTCATTTTGACTCTTATATCACTACCACATCAGTGTATTGATTCTTTAGTCTTCCACTCTGCCATTTCATTTCCTTTTACCCCTATATGTGCGGCAACCCAGAGAAACACCACTGTCAACCCTATAATGCGATATTTCTATTCTTTTTCTGAATATACTGGTAGTAGGACAGCTTTCAGAATGTTTTCTTTGTGAACTGATCAATGTGAATTTGAGTCTGAGCATATTGGAGCCTTTAGTGGTCTCTCCTCTTCAGTCTATTGTAATGAATATATCAATGCTATGATTTTAGGACTATAAAATTGATAGTCCATTTAATTTTCTACATAAATTCAATTCAAACTTTTGAACTATTACTGCCGCTCCTGTTTTTCCTCAGCGATACTTGGATGCATCTTTTTAGATTTTAATGTCTTAATGTCATAAAATTGCTTCTATATATTTCTGTCCCGTTCCTGAATTACGTATACTTTATATGTTTTATCTTTACTTTTTATTATAATCAAGGGTAGTATTACTGGTAACAGTACAGTTCGACAAATCTTTAAATGGTTTAACTCTAACTTTACCACTGGTGCTTCCTGATTGATTGTCTAAACAAGGGATTTATTTTTAGCTTTTTTGATGACCTTGACTATATCCTTGTAAATTAACCTAGTTGTAATTAATCTGATGTTAATGGAAATTCAGCCACATCCATCCTTTAAAGCAGAATTTGGAGTCATTCTAACTGCTCCTGTAATGAAACTCAAAGCTTGGTGTTGGATAGTTTTCACTTTTTCAAACATTGTTTCAGTTGTTGATCTATAGATTATACCTCCATAATCAACTGTAGACCTACTGAAATTTATGTAAATCAATTTCACAGCTTGTCTAGCTGCTCCCCATTCATACCAATCTGAACATATAATTATAGTCAGCATCTTGCTACAGTTATCTACAACTTTCCTATATGTACTTTCCAGGATAGTTTTTCATCAGACCGTATTCCTAAGAATTTAAATTTCTACAGTCTCTTAAGTTCCTGATTCTAAAACTTCTGACAAAAGCATTGCTTTTGTTTTAATCAACCAAACATTTTAATCTAATTTATATGAGCAATGTTTATTGTCTTAGAAATTCCTTTTTTGTAGCTTTATACCATCAAATTTCATACTCCTTCCACACTTAACAAAAAGCTCAATTATCCACAAAAAGAGAACAGTCCAATTTATTTCCTACTTCTTTAAATGCATCATTTGTCATGACTGAAAAATAAAAGGGGACTCATAATAGTGCCTTTTGAAGTTCGTCTTTCTATATCAACTTCCCTGATATTTTTGCCAAATTTTACCTGTATTTTTTGTTGAAAAGTTTTTTTTTAACCAGTGATTCATTCTTTCACTATTACCCACTTTCCTTAAATTGATAATTAATCCCTCTTTCCACATAATATCATAAACCTTTTTTATATCCAGAAAAAAATGCCAAAACACTTTATTTATTTACTTCTGCTTTTATTACCTTATGATATAAACATGTTATATCTATAGCGTTTCTTGCTCTTCTAAAACCACTCTGAAACTTATACAAGTATCCTTTGGATTTAATAGAAAAAATGTTAGTTTCTCATTAATCACTTTCTCTATAATTTTACTCAAATGTGATGTTAAAGCAAAGGTCTAGAGTTTTCTGGGTTTAGCTATCTTTACTCAGTTTTGGTATTGTAATCGTGTGTTTTAGTCAAGACTACACCAACCGAGACCAAGGAGTACCTAGAAAAGACCTTTAGGGGCTGAGAACGACACAAGGGGCCGAGACCTGTATCGGTCTTGGTTCTCCTTGGTCTCGGCTGATGTGGTCTTGACTACGATACTATTGGAACCACTGCAGTCTCTTTTTTAACTTCTAGGATGGTTCTCAGGTATTTTTAGAGACTAGATATAAGATCAGGACCTGTGGCTAAGATGGGGATAGTCTTTTAAAATTACAACCAACTTTAATCCGTGAAAAAACCCTCCTAGCCTGAACAGATCGTTGTTTCAGTGTCAGAAGGACACTGTCTGCGGCTGTATAGAACAGTTCCCTTCATTACCATCATAAAATCACTGTGATGGTTACCAGCTAACATGTGTACCTTGACAGATTTACTGTAGGTTGAAAGCTATATTTGAATAGCACCAACCTGTTTCCTTTTCATTAGAAGTAATATTTTGGAGTGGCCTAGCCTGGTCCCACTACTAAAATCAAAGGGTAAAGGCAACAAGGCCTTGTCCTAGCAGCTATAATTAGCCTTTAATTGCTCTATTGCCAATAGTTTCTGTTCCACCAAGTGTGTAAATAACATTTGACATGCCTTTTTGCCTGCAGATAAAACAGACTAAAATTGATGCATCTTTTGTTTTATCATCTATTTTAGAGATGCTGTTTCATTTCCTGCAAGGACCGTAAATCCTGGTTTTTATTTAAATGTTTGGCTTAAGTGCTTTTATTTGGGTCCTAAACGTTTACCAAGTGGATGAGGGCGAGGCACTATCTGGGCATCCTACATTTCATATTACATTTCATAAGTTATACATAGACCCCAACTTTTACTCTGATTTTTCCTTCATCACATTTTTAAATGGAAACAACACAGGGCTATGATATAAACTGCAGAAAATCCTATTTCATATGTCAGTGGGTTCCAAATGTAAATGTTGCATAAATTCTGCGAAGGGGTGGGGGTCATACTTTCAACTGTTTATGCATTTTTTGCATTATTTTATTGAGAAGCAGAGCAGCATTATTATATATTCACATGTGCAAATTCACGCAATGCATTCAATCACAAATACTTTGTGTAGTTCTGAAGCAAACTTTCTGTTTCATCCTCTGAGACCAAAACATTTTAATGCTGGGTTTCTAAGTAAGGGAAGGGCGAATAAAACATAAAGCTGTTTTCTTAATGGACATGTATGTTATCCAAAAGCAGGGTTTGGTTTATTTGTGTGTGTATTGGCCCAAGCTGGAGTTTTACATTCTATTTAGCAGTGTGTATAATAGAGGAAGATCAGCAACGGGGCAATCCAGGACGAGGAGTTCTTCAGAAACAGACTAACAGCCGAGCATGGCTCCAGTTTTTCTGCAGGAAAACAGAGAAATGTCAGTGCTGCTTTTCAAGTATTAACCCATGTATTCATAAATAGTCATGTCACCCACCTTTCTCCACAATGATACTTTCAATCTGCCCGGAGACATCACAGATGTAGGTGGTGTTGTGTGGGAGTGTGTTTTTGAAATCTTTCAAGGTCATCCTGTAGCCATGGGGATCAAGCTCCACCACTTCGCTTTTGTCTCTAAACTGTGCCTCTGCAGCTGCGCCGGAAACATTGGTGTTGATCACAGACTGCTTGGTTCCAGATGACCAGGAGAACTGGAAGCTGTTGATTTTGTTGGACTTCGGCTCAATCCGGCAGTCCACTCTCAGATCCTCATCTTCTTCATAGCACACAGAGATTAGCTCGGATCGCCCCGGGATCAGCAGCGCTGGGTAGAAACATAAACAGAAGTTAACTGCAACAGTCAGCAACCCCATGCCAATGATACCCTTAAATCTTACATCTGTTTTTTATGATCTTGAAGGGATCTATTGATTAGTAGCTTATTCTCATTTATAAAAACTTCAACAAATTAAGAAAACTTTTTAAAATAATTCATAAATAGTCAGTGATTCAAACCGAAGATTACTCTATTTTTATATTCCACACAATATAAAGATAAAATGAATCTTAGAATATGAATAATTTAAAACACTACTTCAGCCAGAAAGATAAATCAGCCAGAAAGGAAAATAACTCCCTTTTTTATTGTTGTTTGAACCATAGATAAACTTCCAAAATCTTCAATCTAGATCAGTTTCCAATCCAGTTTGCTGCCAGATTACAAAAGCTCCAGACTCAATAGTTCTACTTTCCTTTTGTTCTGCTAAAGTGGCCCTTAACTTGGAGACTGACATGGTGGACATTTTAAATCCCTCTATTTCTCCCTGTTGAGAATTTTTTTGGGGTTTAACCAAGATATGTTTATAACTTATTATTTGGCATATTGTCATTTATTATGAGTTGCTATTTGAGTTGTAATTTTTATTTCATGTATATTTTGTTAATATCCTGTTCAAAGTAGACTACATTTGCAGATGTTTAAAAAGACGGGACTATATATCCCATAATGCTTAAGGTATAGAAGAAGAAAAAGTGGAGCATTTCTTTTGGAGAGAGCTGAACTTGTTTTTCTTCCACTCCAACACTCTGTATGATTTATTACCCCCTTTTTATTCGCTAAGGTTGATCTGAATTATACATCCGATTCTTTCTCGATTTTGGATTAGTCAATTTTACAAGATATTAAAACTTAAACCCTTTGAAGTCCAGAGAGAGAAATTTCAAGAAGACGGTTTTTAGAAACTAAACCCTTGTTCAATTAATGTCAAAGATGGAAAAATATCATCTTTTAATTTCCATGAATGCACAAAATCTCTA